CGCGGAATTAAATGAATTAAATGAATTAATGGGGGTGTGGCCAAATAGACCCCAAGGGCCCTTCTCACATATATATATATATATATGTATACATATGAGCTTGACATGTCGATTTAGGCTTAAAGTTTAGAATTACTTGTGGTTATACCCTATTTAAACTTATGCAATGTATGTTTGCTCAAGCCAAGCTCCTAATAAGTTCATCAGGGCATTCTCGTATACTCCCAAGACTTTGAATGCAAAAGCTGCTTCTTGTTGGCACCACGTCTCATTGATGCCGAGAAAAGCTCGCCAGGCAACCACACGAAAAGCTTAAACCTCAATAAAACACCGAAGCCCCAACCGTTTGACCAAACCTTGAGACCGTAAAGCCAAACCCATGAAGTGCCATGATTCTCCAAATGCCTTTCTGCTTCTTTCCCAACCCAAAAACCAAAAACAGTCTAAACAAAAAATGCTCAAGCCCTAAACGCGGCCTTCAACCCAAAACTCCAGAACCCGCAAACCCCCTACAACCCGACGCCCCTTGAACCCTCTAAGTTTAAGCCCTCAAACACAAAAGCCAAATGCGGTTCGGAGGGCTCACGGAGTTTCTTCCGGAACTCATCGGTGAGCAGAACGTCCGCAAACCAGGGCCTGCTTTCTCCGCCAGACGAGGTCTCTGTGTCCAACTAGATCAAGCAACTAGACTGCATGCGAACAGTCAGCATGTTTAGGGTTTCGGGGGTTTCGGCCTTCAGGGCATTTGGAGGCTTAGGGCTCGAAGGTTTAAGGATTTAGGGATACTTCAGGGCTTCAGGGTTAGAGGGAGTAGAGTTCAAGATGAAGAAGCTGCCTCTGAGGCTCTTCCTGTTCAAGAAACAGCCCTTCGCGGCTTCCCTGAAGGGACTGTTGAGGCTGGGGGGGGGGGCTTCGGAGTCCTTCTCAAGGGCTTAGGGCGTTTAGGGTTTACGCTCTCACAACTCGGACATGCCAGGCTTTTAGGGCTTAGGGCGTTTTAGGGCTTTTAGGGTTTAGGGATGTTTAGGGCTTCTGTGACACTCACACTCGGACAAGCCTGGCAAGGTTTGTAGCGATACTGGTCCAACGACATGTTTCGGCTTTACAGGTCGAGGGCGTGTAGTCGGGAGCCCTGCCGGAAACTTCGACTTCTAGAAGCATCCCGCTTTGGCGGCAGGGTCCCCCGAAAATCTCGTACCAAGTCGTTTTGGGGACCCTGCAAGGAAGAAAAGGCTCAGCAGGATACCGGTGGAAGTAGCGGTAAGCTTAGGGCTATGGGGTCATTTACACCCTCCACTTTAACACCAAAGAACTCACCTTCAAACGGGCGCTCGTAGGGAAAATCGACGAAGGATCCCTAAAAAGGCAGGTTCTATAGCGTCCAGGTACGCCCAAAACCCTAAACCTTCTCAAGACCCTAAACCCTAAATACCCTAAACCCTAAACCCTAAACCTTCTCAAGGGCTGGTCTCGTGTGCGGCCAGGCCACCCTGTGCGGCAGGTTGCAAAAAGCACCGACTGGCCGTCCGACCTTAAAGCGGGGGCGTCTGCATCTGGGTGTCTACATACCCAATTATACCACGTGCGTGCAACATGCATAATATTGCTAGTGTCTGCAAAGATACATATATGGTGTGTATTTTAACTATCATCTTGGTGGCTAGGTTTGGGCCCACGAGTGGCATTGTATACCCTTTTGCACCTGGTCTATGCAAACCCAAAGCCCTATACCTTAAACTGTAAACCGTCTAAACTCCGAAACATAACCCCTGAAACGCTGGTTACAAAATCGAGTCCATTCCCTCGATGCGACATTTTCTCGAACAGCCCTAGGGCAAGCCCAGGTCAGGTTTGCTTTTCGTAAGCCTGCAACCTGCAAACATAAACATGTGAAGCGCTTTGGGCCACAGAGGCGTGGAATTCTGAGATTCGGGGCATGCCAGGTGAGAGGCTCATAGCTATGGCATATGGGGGTTTTGGACTGAGGACTCGCTTTCAAGGCTGTCGCCTATTAGCATGATTTTTCTGACCAAGTGGCTAAGTGAGTTTGGCGCTAATCAATCACAGAAACGAGATAGGTATTGCTCTTGGGTGTCGGCATGCAGAACGCAAATACTTAAGCCTTACATGCCCAAACCATACACGGACAAAACATCGCTGGTCAACTTCAAAGGTCTCAGATACCAAGACATTGAGTCTGTCCTTAAGTTTCTGAACCAGAACTCGAAACTAAAGACCTGAAGCATCAGCCCTTACAACGAGATCCCAAAGCCTACCATCCCGGCAGTTTTGGGGCTATGTTCTACCTTTGCCCCAATCACCGAAGCCAAAAGCTCAGGGACCAGGGAGGGCTCTTCGCGGCATCGAGGAAAATCTCTTCCTCTGAGTAAAAGCCTCGGCTGCGCGCAAGAAGAAGCCTTCAAAAGGCCTTTGGGTTCGCGTCATTTTTCAGAGGTAATTACTGCTAGACTTTCTTTACGGAACTTAGGCGGCTGATGAAGGGTCTTATCGCGTGCTTAGGCACTGAGCTCATTTTGAGCACGAGTTCAAGCGCACGGTTCCTTCTCCCCCGGAGCTGTATAGGATTACATATCACGAGTAGAACTCCCGTTTCAAGATGCTCATGCAGCTTGTCGATAGAGGGGCGCCATGATGTTCTGCCTCTTTAAATATGGCATAAAGTTTCCAATACCTCTGCTCTGAAAGTCATTATTCAACAGTCGGGGCTTCCCTGGGTGCCTGCAGCGAGGCAAGTTCGGTGTCATGAGAACCTAAGACTGCCCCGAGGTTTTCACCGTCCGCATGGCGACTGAATATCACAACCAAATCACACCGGGGGCAATAGTGAAACGGATGATCATGAATACAAAAGCCATGGCGGTCGTCACCATGGTGCTGTGACACTACGTAGCGTCCCTCCAACTTGGACATATTTTCAGGCTGCATGCAATTTTGGTAGCAGGTACACTTGGACAACAAGTTGACAAAGGTTACAGCATGCTACTAGCATGCTATACCTGTACAGAGACTTTGATGGGCTGGCTTTACTAGTCATTATGACCTGTGTCGGCACTCAGGTTGAAGTTCACGACTCAACGCTGCTTGAAGGTGTTTACCTGCCGTCAGTGCTGCTCCACGGACGCCTGCAACCCTAAACCACTGAATCCAAAAAGACAGCAAGGGCCCATACAACCACCACGCATCCATCGGTAACTTTTGAGTTGCAATCAAAAACTGATCGGCCCCAAGCTCTACAACCCCCAAGCCCTCAAGGCAGTAAACTCAAACCCCAAACCCCGGTGCGCAAAAGCCCTTACACATAAATGCACCCTGCCCAATACGCACAAGCCGAGGACATTCAAGTACAGCCCGAAAGCCTGCTAAAACCCCAATTAAGCCCCGTACCACAAGCCCCTTAGACACCAAACAAACGATTTACAAAATGGCTCCTAAGGAACACCCATGTGTTTCAGGCACATAGGCACTGCATCTAAAGCCTGTCAGCCGCAACGCCCCCAAAGTACCATGACTGAACCCTTAGCAGGGCACGAGAAAAGAAGCTTTGCAAGAACCCTACAGCCTGTATGAAGCCATAGACAGGTGGCAGTGATCAAATTGAGGATTTTCCCTATTCACCAGAAGCTTGCCGTAGTCTGCTCCCAGCAAGAGGGACATGCTTTTCCTCAGCTTTACTGGGGACCCTAAACCCTACCCCCTTTGAGCTTCCTGTGGGTTGCCGTTGGGGTTCAGAGTGCAGGATTTGTTTGTGTGTGTGTGTGTTTCTTTCTAAGCTATACCTGGCCTGCTGCCGTGTTGACTACGAACTTGCCTTCACATAGGGACCTTGACAGTTAGAGTCAGAGTACGAGTGGGGGGGTATATTGTGTTGAGGAGCCCTAAGAAATGCGACTGGCAACTATCCGAGCCCTTATTTCGCCTGGGCTTGTTGCAGATTTGGGGTGCATGTAGGAATTAGGTGTTGCTGTTCATTGGGAGCGTGCCTTCGTGAGCCTCTGTCCACAGGTATGGAGCATTCCCTGGCTCTACTTGATCAAAATGCCGAGTCCCCCAACCCTCATTCATCACCTTATAATACCAGCTCATGATGAATTTGAGAGACCCTTCATAGGGCTTGCCATGTTGTGTGTGTGTGTGTGTGTNNGGGGGGGGGGGGGGGGGGAGGCCTTCTGCTAGGGTTTGATTTTCCCACCCCCCCCCCCAGCTAGCAAAGTCGCACCGCGGGGAACTGAAGAGACTCAGAAGAATACTCGCTCGGCGCCCCAGAGGGACACGCACTCTCTGCACCGAAACCACAACCACACGCATCAACCATAAGCATGGCAGAGCGGCTGGATGTTCGGGGCTTAAGATTTGATGTTCATATTGGAAGGTTTCCGAACCGATATACATGCATAAGCGCCACATCCTGTCCGTATGTGTCTGTATGTGTTTAGACATCTATATATATATATATA